AGGAAGATTTTTCTAACCTGGTTTTTTTAGAGAGAAGCTGGCTAGGCAGAAATTACATATATAGTTACACTGGAAAATAGGTGGGGTAAAGTATTCTCCAGTGGTGGAGCAGAGGAGAACAGCTGGCAGTTACCTGTTGACTCAGCTCAACTGGAACCAAACCAAGGCTGAAGACTTACTCACAGTTGAGCTATTCGTTACAGCAAAAGTAACTTCACCCAAATTAAGAGCCACCAACCACATCTCTTTGAGTAGCAGATGCAGAATTTGACCCCAAAACAGCTACTGTTGTTGACAGAATAATTTTCTGTCATGTAAAGATAGTTGTTGTGTTGGCCATTCCCAAAAAGAAAACCTACAAGCTCACAAACAGCTCCACACCAAATACTGTAACTTAGCTCCTTGAGATAGGTACCAGATATACAAGCCTAGAAGCTGAAGTGCTCTGAATGACCATAGAGCAGACACAGCCTAGAGAGTTTCCTATGTGATAAGGCTTTTTTGAGGATCACTTTGAATTACGAGAGAACAACTTCTCGTCTAAAACACTAATCCTGTGAGCAACCTGATGAGACTGCTAACCAAACTGCCGCTTACTGATATTTCAGAGATAGGTTTCTATTCACCAGAAACCAGGTTGACTGCACAGAGGTCAAAGAAAGCTTGCCAGGTCTTTATGCCTTTGAGCCGTTACTGGCAATGTTGTGACTATGCCCGAATATGAAAGGCAATGTATCACATTACCTCAGCTGGCTTCAGGGTTCCTTTGCTTCCTGTGCTCCATTAATGCATCTACTGAATGAAGCAATAAATACTGCATTTTTCTCTGCCCACCGCTTTTAAATTTGCTAGTTAGAAACATTATTAGTCAAAATGAGGGTATTATGAATACTCCCACCCACCTTGCAACACTAACACACAACTACAGAGAGGGATTGGTTTTCTCTTATCTCTCAAGTGGAGCAAATGGTGAGATTTTTCTCAAAAGGTTTTAATAAAAAGTATTTTCTTTTTTCAAGGGAGTAACGGTTTCATTATGGATTTTGAACAGGAAAGGAAATCTCTGGCAATACTAAAATAATCCCACTTGAGTGAATGCATCTATGCTAAGACTTCTTTTTGCCGCCGCCTCAAAAACCCCTAAATTTAGAGAAAATGTTAACTTATTTTAACACTTCTATTATGATTCAGGGGAAATCAGCACGGATTGATATGTCAGACCTTCCCAAGTCGTGAAACTCCAATTTTATACTATCTTTGCAAATCTTTTGCACTGCAGTTAATTGGTGAACACTGGAATTTGAAGCAAGATTAAGTATTCTGGAATCTGCCACAACCGTTCTGCCACTTCTCTAGTCCTTGCAGAAGAGACTTAGGGCAAAGAGTCTGCATGTTCCAAATAAGTATTGGATTTCTAATAAAGCAGTCCCAAAACTACTAACCAAACAGTCATATCGATAATTTTGTTGAGTTACAAGCTTAAAATATTATTTTTATTATATTAGAGACAAACAAGCTACTTTACCGGTTTATGCTTCTCTAACTACAGAATTATAGCAAATCTAAGCATCTTCCTAGAGATATGTCTTCGTGTATTTGATGTACAATGAATTTGTGTGAATGTGTGGTAAACCTACCAGCATTGACTAGACTAGGTTATAACCTAGACAGGTGTACACAGACAAGTTAAAAAGAACTATACTTGTAAACTGAGAGTAAGATGTTCCTAAATTAACTGTATAACAGACTACCAACAATACCATAACTGTGATATTCTGGATGATTCCTTTTGGTACCGGATACTTTTGGTTCTCCCACAGGAGGCTCATGCAGTTTTACTGGGAAGCGTTTTTTTGTGGAAATGGAGAGTCTTAAAGCCTTGAAGAATGCTGTGCAGAGTTCCAATTCTATAATGACGAGCTTCTTGAAACAACACCTTTTGCACAAAGGAGACATTACCTGTTGGTCTCATCTGTATACACTTCTACTGTGCTGATGTTACTACGTATATATCCTTCCCAGTTTCACTGCATGCCTCTTTCTCCTTTATATGAGATAGCTACAAGAGCTATAAGAGAGTTACTTTTTAAAGAAGACTTTAAAATATTTGATTAATTTTCCTAAGACTTTTCTTCACATATGAATTTAGTAAGCAGTATGCCTTTTAAGTCACTATAGTGAGCTTCCTAACTTTAATAGAATTTTTTTTTTTTTTTTTTTTTTGCCCAGGGAGGTTGTGGAGTCTTCATCTTTGCAGCTATTCAAAAGCCATCTGGACGTGGTCCTGGAAAACCAGCTCTAGGTGGCCCGGCTTGAGCAGGGAGGTCGGACAAGACAATCTCCCTTTCAACATTGATGAGTCTCTTGATTCTTTGAAATTAGAGAGCTAAACTAACAGGCAGGCCTGACTACACACACCTAGTTTAAGACTTCATTCATCCACTATGCACAATCCACAGCTGAGTATCAACCAAGTTACTATGTGGAAAGACTGTAACAGCTGACCTTAACCTTCCTTGAACATTCACAGAGCCACAGAACCACAGAATTGTCATGGTTGGAAAGGACCTCTAGGATCACCAAGTCAAGCCTCAAAAAAACAAACCAAGGCCATGCCAAACTAAACAAGAAAATAAATGAAGCAACCAAACAAAAAACCCAAACAAATCCCAACCTTGGCCACTAAACATGTCCTGAAGTTCCAAATCTATACCGCTTTTTAATACCTCCAGAAATGGTAACTCCACCACCTCCCTGGCCAGGCTGTTCCAGTGCCTGACCACTCTTTCAAGTATAGAAATTAACTCTAATACCCAATTTTAACCTCCACTGCTGCAACTTTAAGTGATTTCCTTTGGTCCTGTTGTTATTTACTTGGGAGATGAGGTCAACACCCACCTTCCTACAACATCCTTTCAGATAGTTTTAGGGGGTGAGGAGGTCACCACTCATCTTCCTTTTCTTCTCTTTATTCTTCTTCTTTAACATACATAATATTCATTACACTGTTTTTGATTGTAGTAATGGTAAAACTGCCCTGAGGGCAACAAGGTGACAGAGTTTTAGCCAGAGAAACCCAACTCTGACCTAATGGTGTATAATAGACCTATAAACCTCTGTATTATAAGCCATTCTTGCATTATTAAGATAATCCAAACAGGTAAGTAAAACAAAATCATTATGATCCTAATTGTGTGAACTTTAAAAAAGGATAACTACTGATTTCAGTCAGTCTTTTTGTTTACAAGGGACACTGAATTATATTCTATGCTTGTAATATATTACGCTTTACTATATTAACTGCACTTAAAAAAAGCAATTTTCTAAGGTTGTATTTCAGAAAGGATGCATTTTTCAATGTGTATTCCTTAGCAAATCGTATTTCTTCATCCCTCTTGATCATTCAGAATACGGTAATCTAAAATATTATGCAATATGCATATAGAGACATTACAGTATATATCTCATCGATGGATATATATCCATACATTTATACCACACAAACATCTACAGATCTATCCTGTATAATAATATCCTGGATATATACTTATATATAAGTTTTAGACTGGTAATGGAAAAAAAATTATTCTATTACATTTGAACATTTAGCTTTTACAAATGAGAGAATCCTACTAAACAGCTCCATTCTGCATATATTCTAATAACAGGGTCTCGTTAATAAAATATCAGCCTTTTAATTAATACAATTCAGAACACCTTTCTGCAAAAATCTGTGTATAGAGCATTTATGAAAACATTTAAAAACACAGATTGTGAAGGTTTCCATAGAATGATGTAAGGCTAAGTTACTTCCTTCACACAAAGAACAGAAAATTGAAGATGAATTTTAAAAATACAGTCAGAATTCCTCAAAGCAAGAATTAAGTTTCCCATATTTTCTGTATATTGCCAAGCATTTTGTTCTTTGCCTAAGAAAGTAAAGAAATAAAATGGAAACAAGAATTTTCAAAGTTATATAGGCATATCTACTTCAATAATTGCATGACTTCCAGATGACACAGAGCTCCCACAAAGTCAGTAGCAATTAAGGAGCTCAGAAGCATGTAGTATTAGATTCTCCATCACAAATACTCTTATAAAAGGTAATAATTCACTTTGGAACACAACAGATCATTAAATTATTCACATAAGCAAGTATACATATTAATGACCATGCTCATAAAGCAAGCCTGTCCATTTTTGTTTCCTTATTTCATGTTTTGTTTGCTGATTTTATCTCAACAAATCTGCATGTAACACTTTATTTAAAGCTACCTTTTAAAAATGTCTGTATAAAGAGGATTTTCCTATTTCCATTCACTGTAAGGATACTTCCTAACACAATCATGATCACAACACCCATTTCATCTACTCCTTCTCAAATAGCTTGCTGCAGAGGGAAAGACAAGATGAAGGAGCTGCTGACTTGGATCTTAGTTTCTTAGGTCAAACAGTAACCTTTGAAAACTTGCCAGTTGCCCTTGATGACCAAATCAGGTTTGCAGCTAGCCAACTGCAATATTTTCAGTATTTAAGATATTTCCTACAATAAGCGTCAGCAAGTACAAATAAATGCTATGGTATGAAGGAACCTGCATTTTTTTAGCTTAGGAAGAATTGCATGTTTTATTTTGCCAACATCATCATTAGTCTTCAACATGCCACACTAAATTTACTTCATGTCATTATACATGACGTTATATATGTCTTTGGCTGCACGGTCACTACCTCTGTACAAAAAAAAATAATTAAAAAAATTAGTTAAATGGGTTTGGAAACATGCTTTGCTTTATTTCCTACCTGAAGGATGTACCCTCGAACATAGTCTCGAAGTGTCCAGCCTAAACCATGTAGAATATGCAACACTTCCTCCTGCTTCAGTACACTGAAGAGTCGGTCAAGCAGTATCTTCAGTCTCACAGGCACAGCCTGAGTACCGTAGAGCATCAGGCTGCTGATGTCAAACACAACGTTGGACTGCACAATCTCCACTTGGGTTGGGTGGTAGAGGTGCTGAGTACTAAGCTTGTCCAAGGCTGAAAAAAAAAGATGCTAAGTATAAGAGAAGAGCTAAAGGAAAGACAATAAAATAATCCCAAGGAATTATATAAACACATCAAATTGGGCAGAGGCACTTGTTTTCTACAGAAATATCACCTGGATGACAGAATCATAAAATCAGACAATAGTTTCTGTTGGAAAGGACCTTTAAAGGTTACCTAGTCCAAACCCCCAAAAGTGAGCAAGGACATCTTCAACTAGATCAGGTTTCTCAGAGCCCTGAACAATCTGACCTTAAATGTTTCCAGGGATGGGGCACCTCTCTGGATAACGGGTGCCAGTGTTTCATCACCTTCATTGTAAAATCATATTTAGTCTTAACCTACCCTCTTTTTGTTCAAACCCATCATCCCTTTTCCTCTTGCTACAGACCCCGTTAAAAAAAGTCTGGCCCCATTTTTCTTATAAGACCCCTGTAAGTATTGAAAAGCCATCACAGAATCACAAAATATTAGGGGTTAGAAGGGACCTCCAAAGATGATCAAGTCCAACCCCCCTGCTGGAGCAGGACCAAAAAAACCACACACAACTAGGGCAGATCACTCAGAAAGGCATTCAGACAGGTCTTGAAAGTCTCCAGAGAAGGAGACTCCACAACGTCCCTGGGCAGCCCATTTCAATGTTCTGTAACTCTCACAGTAAAGATGTTCTTCCCCATGTTAAAATGGAACTTCCTATGCTTGAGTTTAAGTCCATTGCCCTTTGTCTTATCACAGGGCACAAGTGAAAAGAGTTTGTCCCTGCCTTCTTGATGCCCAGCCCTCATGTATTTATAGACATTAATTAGATCCCCCCTCAGCCTTCTCTTTTCTAAAATGAAAAGCCCCAGGTCTCTTAGTCTTTCCTCATAAGGCAGGTGTTCCAGTCCCTTAATCATCCTCATAGCCCTCCAGTGGACTCTATCAAGTAGACCCCTGTTCCTCTTGAACTGGGGAGCCCAGAACTGGACACAATACTCCAAGTGAGGTCTCACCAGGGCCAGGTAGAGGGGAGGAGAACCTCCCTCGATCTGCTGGACACACTCCTTTTAATGCACCCCAAGATACCATTGGCCTTCTTGGCCACAAGGACACACTGTTGTCCCATGGATAACTTGTTGTCTACTAGGAGTCCAAGGTCCTTCTCCACAGAGCTGCTCTCTAGCAGATCACCTCCTAGTCTGTACTGGTGCATGTTGTTCCTTCCCAGGTGCAGGACTCAGCACTTGCTCTTGTTGAACCTCATTAGGTTCCTCTGCCCAGCTCTCCAGCCTGTCCAAATCTTGCTGAATGGCTGCACAGCCTTCAGGTAAATCAGCCAATCCTCCTAGCTTTGTGTCATCAGCAAACTTGCTGAGAAGACACTCTGTCATGTCACCAAGGTCACTGATAAAGATGTTGAACAGGACTGGACCCAGCACTGATCCCTGAGGGACTCCACTAGTTACAGGTCTCCAGCTGGACTCTGCACCATTGATCAACACCACTCTTTGGGCTCTATTGTGTTGCCAGTTCTTAATCCATCTCACTATCCATTCTTTTATCCCACATATTCTGAGCTTGCTCACAAGCATGTTATGGGATACTGTGTCAAAAGCCTTGCTAAGGTCAAGGTAGACCATATCCACTGATCTCCTTCGATTTATCCATTCAGCCACAACAACACAGAAGGCTTGGTAAACCCATGCTGACTACTCCTGATAACCTTCTCTTCCATGTGCTTAGAGATGACCTCCAAAATGAGCTGCTCCATCATTTTTCCAGGAAGGAAGGTGGGGCTGACTGGTCTGTAGTTCCTTGGATCTTCCTTCTTGCCCTTTCTGAAGACTGGAGTGACACTGGCTTTCCTCCAGTCCTCAGGCACCTCTCCTGTTTGCCATGATCTTTCAAAAACAATGGAGAGTGGTAGAGCAATAACATCAGCCAGCTCTCTCAACACTCTTGGGTGCATCTCATCAGGGCCCACAGACTTGTCCACATTCAATTTACACAACTGATCTCTGACACACTCTTCATTGACTGGTGGAGAGTTTTCCCTCCTCCAGACTTCTGCTCCTATAGCCAGGGTCTGGAGCTCATAAGGGCTGGTCTTACTATAGATTGAATCAAATAAAGCATTCAGCAACTCTGGTTTCTCTGCATCCTCTGTTACCAGGCTCCCACCTCATTCAGCAGTGGGCCCACATTTTCACTATTCTTCCTTTTACTAACTGATGTATTTGAAGAAGATCTTTTTGTTCTCCTTTACTTTGTTTGCCAGTTTAAATTCTAAGAGGGCTTTGGCCTTTCTTGTTGCCTAGTTCTCCCAAGTAACAAGTCCCTTCTTCCACAAACTGTACATCTTTTTCTTCCATAAGACCTTCTTCAGAAGATCCTTGCTTATCCATGCAGGTTGCTTACCACCTCTGTCTGATTTATTTACCCAAAGGGCAGAGGGGTAGAATCGTGTTCCTTATGCTGCTGGTCACTGTTTTTATGCAGCTCAGGATAGTTGGCTTCCTGGTCTGTGAGTATACATTGCAAGCTTATGTCCAGCTTTTCATCCACCAGTACCCCAAAGTTCTTGTCCACATGACTGCTCTGCAAAGTACAGAAAACTAGAATTTATGCATAGAGTACTGAGAGACCTTCTGTGTGTAGTGAGAGAAGGGGTAATGGTTTTAAACTAGAAGAGGGTAGATTCAGATTAGATATTAGGAAGATATTCTTTAGCATAAGGGTGATGAGACACTGGAACAGGTTGCCCAGGGACGTTGTGGATGCCCCCTCCAGTGTTCAAGGCCAGTTCGGATGGGGCTTTGAGCAAACTGGTCTAGTGGAAGGTGTCCCTGACCATGCAGGGGTATTTGAACTAGATAATATTAAAGGTCCCTTCCAACCATAGCCATTCTGTGATTCTGTGATTTTATATGACTTGGATTTGGCCTTGTTGAACCTCATGAGGCTCCCATGGGCCCACTTCTCAAGCTTGTCCAGGTCCCTCTGGCATGTCAAGCACTTGGTGTCATCTGCAAATTTGCTGATGGTGCATTCCCTCCTTCCCACTATGCCACTGATGAATTTCTTCCAGTACAGACCCTTGATGGACACCACTCATCACTAAGTGATTCTTTTTCACAGATGAAGTCTGAAACAGACCTAGTTTCCAAAGGTCGCAATTAACTTTAACTCCTACAGCAGAAGGGTGCTCAGCTGAGCTCCAGGGACTACAGTACATGTAAGTTCAAAAGAAATTACAGAAAAATTATTATTAACTGATATCCAAGACTGTAGGCTGATTGGGACTATTGAAGGTTTGAGACTTAAATCTCTAGCGGAGGAAAAGAAAAGAGATACACTCTAAATCCCAGCCTTTAAAACGTGTTAAAAATTAGTCCCTTGATCTACCATAAATTCTATCATTAATTCACTGCTACTTGAGCTGGTTAGTTTATTTTACCATTCTGTGTGAATTTCATGTTATTTGCTGTGACATGAATAATTTAGAGATGAGAGCAGGGAAAATTTGCAGGATGAAGGTAGTTTTTATCCCCTTGTGAAGTTAAATATGATGGAATTGCATATGATAGCACACATTTTTCTGAATATCAATGTTTACATTTAACTCTCCATTTTAAGGACTACATTGCAGCACCTGAACTTCTCACTGATTTTTTTCACCAAAACTTTCTGAGCATTTATAATAATTTTATAGGCACTACCTCTCCAGTACTTTGGTTTCTCCTTGGTTTATGGTCACTGGAGAGTACATGTACTCTTGATAAATTGCTTTCTTACATCCAGAGTGCAAAGGGCCCTTACCATTTACTTGCTGGCTTCATTCAACACATTTACTCCAAGGAATACTTTGTCAAAGAATTCTGGTTTCCTCGTACTTCATTTCTTGCAACTGATTTGTCTGATCTTTCCTATTCTAGTAGTTAAGTCAACTTTGAATAAATAACTTGAAATGTTAATAAGGAATTGACAAGACTAGGGACTGTAGTCCTATATCTCTCCACAGGACATTTATACTGCAGAATGTGAAGGGTAGGATTTTTTTTCAAAAAGCTCTTCTTCCAAAGTACTTCTACTAAATAGGCTTTACAATACGGGACTGATTTATTTACAAGGTCTAACAAATGGGATTTGATTGAAACTTAAACAGTCCAAATACTCTCCTACATTTTTTGTCGCTTTTATGTATGAGATTTTTGTAACATGGTTATTTTACTACCACTGTAACAGATGTGTCATCAAAGTACTCAGATAGAAAAGCCTGGAAAATTGATTTCTGTAATGTGCAGGCTGTGCTGTATGTACTCATAGGTATATATGTGTACCTGGGGGGCAGAGCAAACTTTGCAAGGAGCATAATAATGTGAAATATTAATATAATGTTTAAAATGCTACTGTTACTCACAATAAAAATGCTGTAAGCATGTAAGAAAGCCCTATGCCTGCAGTGAGGAAAAGCGAGTTCTTCCATCTAGAGAAGAATTGGCTTGCTGAAGATTCTACTTTTGCCTAAGTCAGAGAGATTGTAGGACACCTTTATTTGAAGATTACTGGGTGGGTTAGAAAAGTAATAGCTATAATGAAATTATAAAAACTCTGTGGACTCACTTTGTATAATATGACTACCTGAGGATAACAGCTTTGGAAAGGACAAGATGGAATAGAAGAGAAAAAAGAAATAAAAATGGTCCTATTGAATTAATTGGCATACTCTTTGACCAGCAGAAATAAATTTTTACAAGATACCCTCTACTGTTCTATTTATCTGCAACATTTGTTTTAAAGCAATACTATCTAGAGACATGCACTCTCATAAAACACACAAGTAAGTTATTCTGGTGTTGGGTTAACATTCCAAGTGACAGTGAAATTCTCTCCAGTTTAGACTAGTTGCCTTCTTCTGCACATTATGTAATAAACAAATAAACAGTGAAATTTATTCTTTTGAAGTACAACTCAGGATATGCTCTGAAATGTGCAACTTAGAACAGAACAAAGCA